TAACTAATCTGTCTGTGCCTGACTTTCCTCATTATAAAGTGGGGTTTGTGGGAGGATTAGAGAGATTAATATGTGGGATGCATTTGAAACAGCATGCAGTCCTGCCCACGAGCTATGTGAGCACCAGTTAGCGTTAGTGTTCCGCCCCTGGTGTCCTGTCTGGAGTCTGGCCCCGGGGCAGGCACTTGGAGGAGCTTCCAGGGTGGATAGGTGAAAGGTGAAAGGTGAAAGGTGAAGGTGAAAGGTGAAAGGTGAAGCGGTGGTCAGGCAAGGTCTGCAGTTCTCGACTGTTCATTGGCAGTCAGCTCCCTCAGTTGGCAGAGACCTTGAAAGTATTTAAAAGAAAATAGTTCCAGAAAAACGAAACTGGCCAGAGAGAGCCGGAGCCCAGCCTGTCCACACCGCCCACCCATTTCCAGGCGCAGCTGTGAGCACCCACGGCCAAGCGTTAAAGGATGCTGCCGTCTCTGCCCGGAATCCGAGGGTTCGCCCCGCTGCTGCTATTTTCGTCCCTGACCCTGGGGAGGCTGGGCTTTTCTAGTTTCCAGTCACGTGCTTACAGTGGCACGGGCAGCAGTCCTCATGAGCAAAGTCCCAGGGGAAACAACAGGATGTCACCACTGATGGGAGCATGGACATCACTGAGCCCAGCCCTCTGCACCCACTTTACAGACAGGGAAACTGAGCCCCAGAGAAGCCCCAGGTGGTGGAGTCTTTGTGTACAAGAAGCATTGAGGCCACCTTAGCTATGAGCAGGTCATACTATAATCGGAAGGCTTTCTCCATCAAAGCATGTGATCACCCAATAAACTTTTGTTGAGGTCTACCACGTGTTAGTGCTGGCTGGGCTATAACGTACGGGATCCTCAGATAAGCAAGAAATAATTTCTGTCCCGGAGAAGCTAACCAGATCTGAGTGGGAGGGGCTAGGGAGAAGGAAGGAGCGAAGAATTAAACAGAATTTTCAGAAAGGCGGTGGGCGAGAGAGCACTGGGGTGGGAGTCAGCAAGCCCATGTGGCTCCTATCAGCTGGGTGTTTTGGGCGAGAGACTTTCACTCTCTGAGCCTTGGAAACCTTGTTTACGAAACAGATGTGATAACTTTGGCCTGGCCTAAACCACAGAGAAAATATCTGGAGAATCATTCCATAAATCTAACATGTAATAAAGATATGCTTGAAGGTATTTTGATAAATGAATAACTATATTGATTCCGAAAAAAATACATTTGTACCAAGGCAAGGGACTGGTAGCTGGGGAGAGGGTTACGCATCCCTCCCTGGCTGAAGGCCCTGGGCAGATGAGCAAACACGGAGACAGCACAAGGCTGGAGTGGCCCGAGGGGGCCAGCCGGGAAGGGTGGTGCAGAAAGAGGAAATGGAAGAGGTGAGATGAACAGCATTACACCATTTCTTTCCTGTTGTGCCGCCAATGGAACATGATGGGAAGTTGGTCTGGGATTCTGGCGCAGCATGTTATCAAAGTGAGTACACGTGGGTGCGAACCAGGCTTCTAAATCGCAGGTCAAGCTCGTGGTTTAGGTACTTGGAATTTTAAGACCCTAGAGAAGGACTAGACCGACCCCATCTCAGGCTCAGCTAGAATGGAGCAAACTTTTTGGCGGAAAGACAGAGGAATGGAGAAAAGAGGCAGAGAGTGAGACAGTGGGTGCGGCAGGGACAAACCAGGGCCCCCACACCCCATCAGAAAGCCCCTTAGTGCTTTTCTGGCTGGGCTCTGCCGGCAAACCAGTCAGCTGGGGTCTCTTGAGCTCCAGCTCTGCATGCAGACTGTGTCAGGTACTCCTCGCAGGTGAACAAGGCTCCTGACCGTGAGGAATTTGCAGTCTGGGAGGGACCACAGATTTCTCCCTGAACAATGATTCTCCTGCAGACTCAGGCAGGAAGCTCAAAGCAGGGGATCAGGGAAGCGTGGAGAGGTTTGGAGAGACTTGGGGAGGCTTGGGGAGGCTTCCAGGAGGAGGTGGGCCTGGAGCAGGGTGGTGGAGGACAGGAAGGATCAGCTGCAGACCAAAGGTCCGCAGTTGCACACTCAGTGCTCAGCCGAAGATAGAGGCAAGTGTTTCAAAAATGTGATGTCATTTTTCACTCTGTAGATGTGTCCAATGAGTTAACATCGTAAGTGCTTTAGGAAGTGCAGCGGACTAGTAAAGATTTTAATGAAGTTGAGCCCATGGGATAGGCCCTGTGCATGGGCTGTCTGGCCTCAGGGCTGGGTGCTCTCCCCTCCCTGAGCACACAGAATCCTCCCATGTCTCAAAGAGAGCAAAGAATGTGAATCTATAGCCTCCTCCCTCCAGCCATCTTTGAGAAGTCTCCTGTCTCCTCGCTTCAAGTCTCTCTTGCTGCCAGGCACTGCCCTCCCTACTTTGGCTGTTTAGGGCTGGCGGAGAACAGCTGGTAACTATTCCCTGGGTGGAGAGCACTTCCTCTACCAATATTGAAAGAATTTTGGCAAATGCTAGGGTCTGGTACCTGGGTTTTTCAGAAACTCTCCCGGTAGAAAGGCAGAGAAGGGGAACTCAAGAAGGAACAACTCAAGGTGTAAGGTTGGTGGTGCAGAGGGAGCAAGGCTACCCGACTGCAGGGCAGGGAGGACCTGGGGCCACCTGGCCAGGCTCCACCCTTCCTGGAATTCCCTGCTCATGGGGCTCGGACTGACTGCCCTGAATGCAACCTGCCCATTCCAGGAAGAGGCCCAGCCCTTGCTGAGAAGAGGCCTCAGTGACTGCCAGAAAAACCTGGACGGTCTTGCAAAGGCTCTAAGCTCCCGGGATCACCCGCCCTGCACTCCAGGGAGTGTTTGGTGTGCCGTGGCTAGAGAGTGACAGGGAGGGTGGGTGACTTAGCTCCAGGCTACATTTCACTAGGAAAATCATCTTAATAGGAAGCAGATGAGTTGATATATTTACTCTATTTTATTTTACTTATTTTTTAAATTTCAGAATATTATGGGAGTAACAGGCATTTTGGTTACATGAATTGCTTTTGTCCCATTTGGAGATATTTCAAAAGAGAATGTAATAACTTGAACAGCCAGGTAAATAATGACAGCAATGAAATAAAATAAGTACCCATGAGTTCATATTAATATAAGTATATGAATAAGGAGAAGAGCCAACTCTTTCTTACAATAAAATTTTAATTAATAAATGTGGAAAGAATGACGGAAATACAAAATCACCGGAAAACACCACAGTAATCACTGTTGCCGGAAAGTATCAATGGATGCTAACACTAGTGGGCAAAAAGTACCCTGAGAAACAGGATACTTACAAAGTCCCAAAGAATCTCCCCATAAGATGCTCACTAATTACAAAGGAATAAATAGTAATTTCACAGTGGACAAATTTGGCAGATGCCACCGTACCCAGATGATCGGTTACCATCACCAAGAAAGAGACACCTGATAGGTACAATGAGAAGGACACAAGATCACTTCTGTGACCACACAATCACTTTTCCATATCAAAGAAGCGTGGAAAAAGTATCTTCCTCCCCAAAATACATACCCTTAATCTGATCAAGAAGAAACATCAAACTGAAATGTGGGGACGATGCACAAATGAGCTGTCCAACACTCTTCAAAAGTTTGAAAGTCAAGAAAGACAAAACAAGACCGAGGGGCTCTCCCAGAACAGGGAGACTAAGGAGACGGGACAACCAGATGCAAAGTAGGTTCTGGTTTGGATCCTGGCCAGGGCCAGGACATTAATGCAACAGTTGATAAGATTCGAATAAGGCCTGTAGATTACTTACGAGTGTTGTGTCCATGTTAATTCCCTGTTCTAGATTATTATGCAGTACTGTGATTATGTATCATGTTCATATCGAGGGAAGCTGCCTGACAGGCGTTTAGGAGTCCTGTACATTATTTTTGCAAATGTAAAAATTATTTTTAAATAAAGAAGTACAAAAGGGTGGAGGTTATGAAGAAAGGGCCTGGTCCTAGAGTTTGGCTGTTCTCGGGAGGGACCCTGGACTCTGAGAGTCTTGTTGGGCAGCTCCTTGGGCCTTATTCTCCCTTTTGGTAACTAGCATTTGGCCTGGAGAGACTTGGAGGCCAACCCAGTTGCAAGGTCCCCTGCTCTCTGTCAGTGTGGGAACCCATCAAAGGCTTGACTTCCACTGTGAGGGGCCTGTGGACCTAGAGGAAAGGCAAATGTCCAAGTCCATGTCCACCTCTCTGGGGACATTGAGTTCTCTGATACCTGTCTGAGACACCATTGCCATCCTCAATGAAGATGCAAAAACCCAGGCCAAGAGAGGCGAAGCCACCATTTCTGGGTCACACAGCCAGTAATTACAGAGCCAGATTCAAGCCCTGCTGTATGTGACCTCAATGCCACTGCCTTTAACCACCTGGCGTGACTGCTGTATTACTGTTCAATTCAGGGGGAGGAAACAGGCGTTCACCAGCACCTGCTGTGTGTCAAATGGGCAGTAGGGCTAGAAGTGAAGGTGGCTGAGATGCTGATCCTGGAGCACAGGTGCTGATGTGGGGGAGGGGGGCACGTTCTGCTAAGCGCCTGGCAGGCAGTGCGTGCCATACACCCATTCATTCATTCTTCACTCAGTCTCTGCTCTTGCCTGGCCCTGGGCTCGGACTGGTAGGTCAGGTATGGTCCTTGCCCTGGGGGCTCCTGACCAGGTGGGAAGCAGACAACTGAACAGGCAGCTAGCTCCAGAGACACATGCTGTCACGGGGCGTGGGGAGGGTGTGGAGAGAGGGAAAGAAGGAAGATGGTTTGGACAGTCAGGAGATGAGAATGGTGCTGACACACTGTGGGTGTAGCAGACACAGCAATTCTTGGAGGGAGTTATGGCCAGAAAAGGAGAGTCTGGGTGGAGTTTAGGGTTGGGGGCAGTTGGGGTGACATCCTGCTGGGAAGGAGTCCGGCATGACTGGAGCTGGAGGCAGGATCTCTGCAGGCGGTGCTGGGAAGGCTGCCCAGGTAGACAGGGTAAGCTGAGGCCTGGAGGTCCGGAATCAGCTGTGAATGCACTTGGCCCCAGCTAATGGGGAATTGTTCCAGAGACCGGTGGCTGGGGCCACATGGGGTTGCTCCTTCGTGGGGTGGGGGGTCATCTGAGCTTGACTCATTTGTCAGCAAGGGAAATAGCTTGTGGCTGTGCAGCTTAGATGAGGGCTGGGGCAGGGGAAAGGGCTGCTTTTTGTCCCAGCCTTAAAGCAGGATACAGGCAGGCTGCTGTCCAGAGGGAGGAAGTGCCTACTGAGAAGAGTCACACTCCTCTGCACTTCCCCGAGGAAGAGGCCCCGGCGCTGCTGCTCTGCTCCCAGGCTTGGGAGGACCGTCCCAGACAGTCGGTCTGGCTCTGGTAGGTTCTGGCACAGGCAGGGTAGCCTGGGCCTGCCAGGGGCCACAGGGAGACGCCGGACCCAGTGGCTTGGGCCGTGGGCACAGGTGCTGGGAAGAGGGTGGCACTAAGAGGGTCAGTGTGGGGCTTTCCTTCTCGGGCAGATGGTGAAGCGATTGCCTCAGGCACCTGGGGTGCGAGGTGGGCTGCTGGCCTCTTTCCCTCCTCCATCCCGGCCCTGAAAATTGGCTTTTTGGATTCTGAACATTCCTGAGAGTTGGTTCTCTGACCTGGCTGGGTGACCTCAGGCATTCCCTTCCCCCTCTGTGCCTCTGCGTTCCCAGCAGTAAAATAACAGAACAGATGAGAGGGTCTGTAAGGGCCTCCCTCCCAGGGCCAAGGTTCTCCGGCTCTGTGGTCTCCTTTTGTAGGCGTCCGCCCCCTCCTCAGCCCCCCCCCCCCAAGCACTTCTAGCTAGATCCAAACAGTCCCCAGGTGCCCTTCCATGCATCCCAGCCTGAGTCAAGTGTCCTTGAGTCAATGAGTTTATTTGTTTTAGGGCCCAGAAGGGAACCAATAGTTATATGCCAGGCACTCGGTTTATTATGACAACCCCGTGAGGGAGGCATAGTATGGGAGAGAAATCTAAGGCTCAGAGAAGTTAAATAATTAGCCCAGGGTCACACAGCCATTAAGGAGTGGATTAATTTGTATTCTGTCTATTCTACATCACACTAGTGAGCCACCCTTCCTGGGGGAGGTGGGTGTTTCATTTTGAACCTAGCGTCATGCTGAAATCAAATGCAGGGAGCTCTCGTGAGGACATTTCAGGCAATAATGAGAAAAGACAAAAGCCAAAAAATCAAAAAATAATTGGGAGAAAACATGAAAATCACAACCTTCTACAGCAGCAGCTCCTTGAAGGGTTGGGCTCTCAAAGTGCTTACTTTTTATTGAATGAAATAATTTTTTTGGAGGAGGGGTTGCTCTTATGATTTTATCAATGCCACAAACACCCCTGTTTCTGGACAAGAGCCAGGAAAGATTGAGTAATGTGGGGTCCCGGGGAGCGTGGGGAGCAGGCCAGCCTCAGAGATCCCAGGAACAGGAGGTGGCTGTGCCCAGCAGGGGGCTGCAAGGGGACCCTGCCCTGCTGGGGACTGCACAAGGCCACTCCCTTCCAGCTCGACTTCGTGGCTCCACAAATCCATGAGGGCTGGGGCAGCTGACAAGGCTCTGGGCATGAAGCAGACAAACAAGATACACTAGAATGTTCCCTCAGGTTAGTTCTGCGGGGGTAGGATCATAGGGGAGTTTTTCACCTCTTTTCTATTTTTCCCCTGTATTTCCCCATTTTATGTTGAATATATACTGTTCTTGTAAGCAGGAGAAACAACACATTAAAAATGAAAGAGAGAGAGTGTGTAATGGTCTGGAATTAGAGGCTGGGGCTCTAGGGCCAGCTCTGCCTGGCTGGGGTGTGGCCTTGGGTTTCCTGTGACACCAGGGGGGCCATCCCTGCTCACTGGTGACGGTGACGTCACAGGGAGCCAGGAGTCCCCCCCCACCCCCTGGGTCCGGGATATAAAGGGCCTCAGGAAGTACAGAGGGCTCTAGGTAGGTGTCAGATTGGTCACTGCTATTTTCATTGTGTTTTACAAATCACAAGTGAACCAAACAGGGTGCTTCCCGGGGCAGAGCACCCAGGGGGCAGCTGTTGACGCTGTGAGTCTGAGGAAGGGGCTCACCTGGGCAGAACTCCTGTGTGTGGTTTGGGGCTCTAGTTCTGGAGCCAACTGCAGGGAATGGATTTCCAATCCTGTTGTATACTGTGTGTCCTTGGGCACCTTACTCTCCCTCTCTGAGTCTCAGTTTCTCATCTGTACAATGCGGCCTGTCTGATAAGGTGATTGTGAGCAGTCAGTACATTATTACATGTAATGCTCTGGGGCGGGGGGCATTGCTCAGCATGTTTGTTATTCCCTTTGAGACACAGTGTGCCCAGCATTTAGAGCAGGGACACTGGGTTTCAAATACCGGCTGCCTGCGCTGCTCCATTGCTCTGTGACCTTGGCCAGTTCCCTAACCTCTTCGTGCCTGAGTGTCCTCAGCTTGAAGACAGGGCTGATAATAGTATGTATTCCATATGGTAATTGTGAGCATGAAATCAGCTCATACGCTCAGAGCCCTTACCCCAGCGCCTGGCACACGGTGGGGCTCCATGGTGTTGTTATCATGATTGCATAAGATTGAATCCTCACAGGATCCTTCGCTACACATATGGCTTACTTTATAGAAAAGAAAACTGACTCATGGAAGTTGAGGGTTCCAGATGGAGCCCTGCCTTTGTCTTGGGGCCCGCAGGCCTGAAGGTGTAAGGCCAAGTGTACCCCAAACTGACCAGTGACATGGAGACCCTGCTCTACCCCTGGGCTGTCATTCAGCAGTCCCCCCACCCAGTGTGCCATTCTCAAGGCACTGGACTTCTCTCCTTGGGTCTCCCATGTGTGGCTCTCACGTCCTTTTCCATTCACGCGCCACCCGCCTTCTAAACAGCCTTCCATGCGGGTGTCCTAGCAGTGGCAGCCTGGTCTCCTGTTACCTCTCCATCTCTTGTCCCATTCCTTGCCCGTAACTTTTAATGAGCTAGCCTGGACCACGGGTCTGTGTTCAAATCCTGGCTCAGCTATTTATTGGCTGTGTGACCTTGGGCAAGCTCCTTAGCCCTTCTGAGTCTCAGCCTCCTCATATGGTAAAATAGAGGGATAACGCTACCGGCCTCCTGGTGTTATGAAGGAGGAAATGAATTCACCCATGAGAACAGAGCCTGGGCCATGGTAAGTGCTCCATGGGTTGGGTATTGTTGTTATTGTTATTTATGCAGTTACAGTTTAATGTCTGGTGTTTTCCCCAAGCCCAAGAGGATAAAGTAGAGAGATCCCAACACCGTGACCAGATTCCCGAATGGCAGATTTCTGCCACC